TACTAGGCCCGGACCCTGAGTAAGAGAATTCAGGACCCTGTAGAGGTCTGAGTTTTGATTTGAATCCCCTTACCCAGCTGTTGAACTACACTACACAGCAGCTTGAGACAGGAAGTGAAGAAGAATCCTACAGTCACTCAAAATGGGAGGAGAATGCTGTGGAGTCTGTCCGTCTGCCAACCTGCTCCGCCTGTCACCGTGTTTGGACTGCAGCACGGGGATGCTACCTCCAAAAAGATGCGGGGTGGAATCTGGTGGCACCAAAGAGCAGTTCCCAAAGAGGCTGCCTGGGCATAATACCTGCCTTGACCCAATTACAAAGAAGTGGGCTGCTAGATCTCACAGCAGCAGGATGGGAAGTGTCATCTCCCAGGTAAGTCAAGATGGGAGGGTCATACTTGAGGAGAACATCTGGCAGACAGATGGACTGAACTCCAGGCCTGACTCGCTACTACATCTCCAAGATCTTACCCAGCCGCTGGGCAAAGAACAAAACTGGCCGCTTGGTAAATACAGGCTCCCTTCTTGTGGGAGTAAAAGCTGATGGTTACCAGCTGAGAACTGGAGAGCGTCGGCCTCCGAGCTTTGTAAACAGAAGGGAAAGGTGATGTTAATTTCAACAGAAAAGCAGCTCCCAGCTGCCTCCTCCAGTTTCCATGTAAATCATTTATTCTGCCCTAAGTTGGTATCAGCTCAATATGGAAAGTGAGCACCAGGCAGGTTGGGAGCAGCTGGCTCTAGTCAGCTGTTGTTCTCTGGTTATCCTCAGCTGCCTTCTCCCTGGGTCTTCCCAGGGAATGGCCATGGCCAGTGGCCTGCTATGTTGTTGACTCAGCCAGTGGGGGCCAGCATTAGCCAAGCTCTGGTCCTGCTGGAAAGCACCCAGAGTTTGCCGTGAAAGGGTTGTAATTTACAGCTGCATTGGCTTCTCTAGGCAATGCAGCTCCAGAGAGGGAGGCCTTCAGGAAAGGATCTGGCCTCATCCCAGTGGTGGCAGAGAGGAGGGGAGGAGACCTTAGACAGAGTAGGCTGATCCAGTTCCAATCTGACTCCACAAATGATCTCCTCTTTCCTCCCGGGGGGCGCCCGGGCCTTCTGTCTCTCTCTGGAAGCCTGGTGGCGACTGGCTGCTGTCCTGCAGGTTCACTGCCCAGACGGGACTCCCCGCCAGCACCCTCCTGAATTGAGCACAGGAAGCACAGGGCCACCCGAGGGGCTGGTGATGCTGCTTCTGAAAGATGGAAGCCACCAGCAGGGTCAAGCTCGCCTCGCCTCGGGGGGACAGAGCTGGGAATTGCAGCCGGGCTGGCACAAGACCATTCCCCGCCGGAAGCTGCCAGTGGGGCGAGGAGGGTTTAGCGCGTGGTTCATTGTCTCTGATGGCAGCACCGTGACTGAGCCCCCTGTCCTGCCAGCACATCCCTAAGATGGCTAGGCACTGCCCTGGCATTTGTGGGGCCGGGGTGTGTGTGTGTGTGTTGGACAATGGGTGTTGGGTACACACCACATAGGGCTAGCTGGAAGGTTCAGGGTCCAGTGAGGACAGATTTGCGCTGCATCGCACCTGGGGAGGGGGAGGGCGCTGCTTTCCCAAGCTCCTGCACTCCCAACCATACAAACCCATCGCATGCACAATGAGTGCTCGTTACCCCACTTTACCACGCTCAGCTGGTTTCTGATCGGCTTACACCCCACACGGAACTTTCCCTGCTGCTTACATCACCATAGAATCTGGCCCCATCTTTGTTAAGGAAATATGAACCTTATTCTATTTCCACTAAGACCCCTTTTGCACCACACTGGCAGTGCGAAGGGGCTTTAAAGTGGGTACAAATGCCACATACAGTGGCAGAGCCACATAGAAGGGCCTGGGCGTGAATGAGAATCAGGCCCCCTTCTCGTTACCTTCTTGCTCTTCACTCTGTCTCAGCCCCTGCTGAGCAAATTTGCTGTGGAAAGATCTCGAGCTAAATATTTATGAGCTGACATTTAGGTTTTGCATTAAAATCTGCTCCAGCAAAGGCCAGCCCGCACCCGGACTCGGGTTTTGCTGCGTTCAGGTGAAAGCAGGAATCAAAGACTGAACCAACTCAGACGTGGGGGCTTGTGACAGTTCGGCTGACGATCCAAAGTGAAAAGCAATAGCGTGTCACGGAACAGAAGTTTCTGCTGCAGTAGTTAGGAGGGGAGCTGACTCACCCACCCCCACACATACCTTTCAGTAGCTTTGCACCTCGCATCCCTTAGGGAAGCTGGGATGCAGCAGGAAAACATCTGTCTGAAGACAGGCTTCTTCCACTAACGAGCTGTTCGCTGCTAGACATCTGTTGACTCAAACCCTTTGAGGTGTGGTAGGGCTCGGGGCATCACACCCTGTGGCCTGGTAGAGTTTCAGTTTGGATCACTGCATTCTGTCTCCTTAACTCCCACGCCTCCCTGCCCAGCCCACTCTTTAAATGGGAAGGTGGTCTCTCCTTCACTTCCGGTCAGATCCCCAGTGGGTGTAAATCAGTCTAGCTCCATTGGCGTCAATGGAGAGACAGGGGAGGAACTGGCCCTTCGGACATGGCATAGCAATGCGGTGTGGCTACTAAACAGCTGCCATGCTCCACCCCAGGGGCGGGTGCATTTCAGTGGCTGGCAAAGCAATGCCTGTACACACATTGGTAATGCACTCTGGTGTCCTTCAGGATGAATGGCGAGCTATAGCTCTAAGTCCTTTAAGCACGATAATAATTATTAAGTAGGCCAAGGCAAGACTGCCTGTTGCAGATGCATGTGAGGATGCTAGATACTGCAGTATATTGACAGATGTTACACTCCATCCACAGTGACGTCCTCTATAAATCTTCTACATCGTGTCTCTGCAACAGCCCATAAAGCCTTGACAAGTGCCTGTGTCACACGCTATGGAATGACCTGGTCCAGGTAGGTTTGACCCACTTGTTAGTTCTGGCCTGTTGCTCAGTAGGTAGCAGGTGTGCGTGGGAGAGGAGATCTCCAACACATGGTCCTGGGTCAGGACGCCCTGCTCACCTTAGAAGCCGTGGGATAAAGAAGTGCAGAGATAAAGCCACTGTTGGACCAGTGGCTGCGTAGTTACCCAGAATCCAGCCCCCAAAGGTGCTCAGTGACTTCCCCAAAACTCTCTTGGAAAGAGCCAGAAGGCTTTCTCCAGCCAGTAAGCACATCTCCAACAGGCGAATGACAGGGTTTTCGTTCGCCAACAATTCCATCCAAATCAGGGGGAAAATCTGTTTGGAGGTCGAACCAAAAATGGAATTTTTCCCTTTTTTTTTTTTTTTTTTTGTAAATTCCAAAAGTAAAAACCCCGGCGGTTCCTTTGATCGGATATTAAACGTTCAGGTTTGATTTGGGGGCACACTGAGATTTTTTTTGCAACCATCTGTGACGATGTGACTCAGCAGGGAGGGGGGACCTGGGAATGTGCCCTGGGGATGGGAGACCTGAGAGCCTGTCACCTGAGCCAGGAGGGGGAGGGGGAGGTAACACCTCTGCCCAGGAATGTGAAGACAGGCTGCAGGAGAGAGCCTGCTGGGGGGGGGGGGGGGGGAGGGGTTAGTTTCAGTTTGGGGCTGGGGGGAGGAACACAGGGAACCCCAGGGCTGGGGTCTAAGCTCCCTGCTCCCCCAGAAGGACTTGACTGAGGGGTCCTGGGTGTACCCACAAGCTCTGTGGAACTGTGTTCCTGTTGTCCAATAAACCTTCTGTTTTACTGGCTGGCTGAGAGTCTCAGTGAATCCCAGGAAGAGGGGTGCAGGGCCTGGACTCCCCCACACTCCGTGACACCCTCAAATCAAAGGAACTTTCCAAAGAGTCATTTTGAACCAAAAAATGGAAACGAATGTTGCAATGGAACATTTGGATCGGGGGGGAGAGGGTTAAAATGAACCATTTGACACAAATTCGCCGACTGCTTCAGGGTTGCCGAATCTGTTTTCTTGCCAAAAACAAAAAAAAGTTTGGGCCCAAATAACGTTGCCCCGCTCCAGTGTCTTCCCAGGCCCCCTGGCTGATTCTCCCTGAAAGAGAGAGCGGTAATTCTGGAGCAAGAAGCCAGCTGGCCCCTTTTCTCTCAGGGTAGCAGCCTTGGGACTGAGGCTGCAACTGGGGAGAACCAGCCCCGCTTCGTAAAGAAGATAGGGCATTAAGAGCATTCCCCCACCCCCACATGACACAGGAGACCAGCAAGCGCACAAGACAAATCTTGGCCCCGTGGCAAGTTTATTCCCTCCGGTTTCCTCAGCACGTTTGCCAATTCCCAAAGCAAATCTGTGTGCAATAGCTGCACAGGGGTTACCCTAGCAACGGGCGAATGTGGACAGGTTCGCAGTTCGTGCTTGGTCCTGACGTTAGCCAAAACTCCTCGGAGATGCTGGAGCCTGCTGGAAAGAGCAGCCCTGGATGGAAAGACCACGAAAACGGCCGCGGGCTCAGGCATTTCAGTTCTGGTCCCACATGGGAATGACCATGAAAACAGCCGATGCCAAGGGGCTTCGGATCCCGGCTGGCTCCAGGGAAGGTGAAGATGGTAAAACCTACTGGTCAGTGCCTATTACATGTCCCTCCCTGAACCAGATCCTGCTCAAGAGTCTGACTGTAGCTCAACCTGTCGAGACTTGTGCTTTCAGCTCTGGAGGTCCCTGGGTCAATCCGTGCTTTGTTGGCCAAACACGGCAATGGAGGGGGAAGAACATTACCCAGACATTTCCGTGCCGCCAACAAACTGCACTTGAAGTTTGGTCCAGAACAGGGAAGCTAACAGAGAAGCCAGGCTGGGAGAGGGAAAGAGACCACAGGAAAAGGAAACACGTTTGATAACAGCCCAGGGGAGCACACTCGCATGACAGCCAAGCCCCTGGCTTTGCAGTGGGGGTTCCTCCAAGTAACGATCCCCAGAGCTCCGAGGGGAGAGCACCCTTGACGCACGCTGCTCTAAATCCTAGCATGCCCCCGTCATGGCACGGCGCTGCTCTTACCTTGGTCACAGCCATGGCGCTGGCATGTCCCCAGATCTCAATCAGCTGCTGGCGACCAAATCTGTAATCTTCCAGCAGCTCCTTCTCGATGGCTTCCGCCTCCACGCGGCTGCAAGGCAAGAGGCAGAGGGGCTGTGAGGATGATGGTGGGATCCCCCATCACGCTGCAGCTTGTTATTGCACCTGCATGCTCAGGCCAAGACTTTCCAAAGCGGCTGCCTGCAGCCAAGCTCCTAGGTCCATGCGACCAGCTTTTTGGCATGTGCCAATCAGCCAGGAACTCCCACTGGAGTCTACACCAGCAACTGGTCGTTTGCCACTTCGCATGCTAGGCCTGTGTTGTGACATGGGGCCCACCAAGCACCAGCCTAGGTAAAAATGATCCTGCTAGTGAGTTGCCTCAAAAGATTCCCTCTTGCAACTAATCTCCAGCCCCGCCGGCTTTCCCTTGTGCTGGGTAACATCACAGCTTGCCTCCCCGCCGCACCGACAGGGCAGTATTTTGTGGAAGAAGGGAATAAGTGGCTACGTATCCCAGACCTCAGCCATGCTCCCCATTGCCCCCTTCCCGCCCTCCCACCCGGCTGGTGCTCGTTCAGGAGTCAGACCTTCCGCTGGATCCTTCTGGGAGAGCTCTCCTCGCTCGTTTGCCAAATCCAGGTTTGGAGGGACCTGAGCTCCCACAGGTACCTGGCAGGGTTAATCTGGGCTCGGCTGTATCGAAAGGCAGAGCTGTGCACCCCTGGACCTTCTCTGCACCCAGCCCCGGCCACCTGTTTGTGGTACCGCGGTGGGAGAACATGGAAATCTGCGCGCCGAGGAATCTGCACGTTGCAAAAAGCTAAACAACGCGTCACTTGGTCATTCACTAGTGATCCCAGAATACTGACTTTGGAATTGGACGATTGTTCACATCTGCTGGGTCACCTGACTGCAGGAAGAGACAAGCAGGTGCTGCTTTCAGGACAGAGCCATTTTGCTTGTTACGAACGTGGAATGGGACATCGAATCCGCTGCGACGGCCACCAGACCGGGTTCTTTGGGGACGAGGCACCGGGACCCTGGGGTCACTGGCAAAGTCAGACTCGGTGCAAGCTGGGAAGTGGGGGGAGTCGTATTAATTCACACCAAGGATCCAGTTCTTCACTACCGTGCACACTGCATGTCACTGTCCCAGTGCAGAGTGGGCGTGTGAACGGTTACCATTCTGAGCTGGTAGCATTTCACGCTCACTTTGCACGGCGGTCAATGGCACACAGTGTGCAAGGCAACAGGGAGTTTTTAAAAATATGTATCTATTTCTGTCTGTTAAACAGCTGCCACCCCCCACCCCCCAGAGGTGGCTGCCTCACTGTAGTGGGTGATCCTTGTATATCAGCCACCATTCACATACACTGCTACTACTCAGCACCTTCCACTTGCAAATCATTTTACGAGCCACACAACACCCCTGTGAAGCAGCCAAGTACCATCCCTGCTTTATCAACAGGGAAACTGAGACAGAGAGGGCGTCTTAAAGCCACAGATGTTGTTAGTGGCAAAAGAGGCAACCCCAGAACTTTTTCACCACAGCGGCGGCTAGGCTCTGGTCCACCAGGAGGGCTCCCCGCTCTGGGTGTTGCAACCCGGTGCAAGGGGTTTCAACACCACTCAAGTTTGGCTCAGCGGCCCCTCCATCAAGGAGCCACTGGCCCAAACCTGAGCAGAGCTGCGACCCCACAATGCCAGTTATGCCACTCGGTTTGGGGGCCCACTCAAACAAGGCAGCTGGGGCAAACTGCTCTGGGCAGCCCTATCCCCACCCATCGGCACCCATGTGTCACGGAGTCCCCGGGCGATGCTCTGGAACTGCTCCCCATGAAGCCAGTCAGGACTCTGGGGCAGTCGCCTTTCTGTGAGCAGCCTGTCTGCAGGACACGCAGCTCACACAGCTTCCACCTTCCTGGGTCTGACCTCGGAGCATTCAGCATCCTCTGCCCCTCCGTGCGCTTCCCACTCGAGTCCGCTCAGGCGGGGCTCCTGGGGAAGCCAGAGGGTCCTGCACCCCAACTTCGCAGTCAGACGTGACTCTCAGCCAGCCAGTAAAACAGAAGGTTTATTAGACGACAGGAACATGGTCTAAAACAGAGCTTGCAGGTGCAGAGAACGGGACCCCTCAGCTGGGTCCATTTTGGGGGGCAGTGAGCCAGACAACCACGTCTGCACTTCACTCCATGTCCCAGCCAGCCCCAAACTGAAAACCCCTCCAGCCCCTCCTCCTCTGGGCTTTGTTCCTTTCCCGGGCCAGGTGGTCACCTGATTCCTTTGTTCTCCAACCCTTCAGCTCTCACCTTGCAGGGGGGGAAGGGCCCAGGCCATCAGTTGCCAGGAAACAGGGTGTCGGCCATTCTCTGTGTCCAGACTCCTGCACACACATGCCCTCTAGGGCACTGCAATGATCATACACCCTTACCCCACCACCTAGATACTTAAGAACTGCCTAGGGGAAACTGAGGCACCCCCACACTATTCAGAGGAAACATTAAGAACAGTCCCACTTCGTCACATCTCTCCCCCCTTCGAGATCGAACTGAGCGGGGTCACTTTAGCCGGTGACCTGGGGAAGTTCGAAGCCACCAACGTTCCCATGGATGCCCCAGCATCTCTCCCATTCCTTGGTAGGAGTTACACCAGGCCCTTCCATTTTCACGCCCTCCCTTAGGTCAGGGGTGGTCGATAGCAGTCGCAGGCTGCATGTGGGAAGGTTTATGCAGCCCATGCCCTTTGGCCACCCCAAGAATGTCTCCCCATTGACCATCACCTTCTGCTCCCACTGGAGGTCCGAGGGGCCTGGCCCCAGGAAACTCCACACAGACATATAGGTTGGGGTCAGGAGTGGGAGCCTGTCCACATCCCCAACCATCTGGCTGACGGAGTCTATGGCCTTGGGACCCAGCAAGGGAGCTAGACACCGGGGCTTTTCCGCAGGGTCCCCCTGGTTCAAATCGCCAGCCTGCTCAAAGGCAGTGAGGTGGGCATCCACACATCCCCCCCTCCTTAACCAGGGGCAGCAATTTAGTCTCGAGGTTCCCTGCGGAACTGGCCCCCCGGGATCTATCCCCACTCACCCCGGGGAGGTCCCCTAGGCCTCTCCGCCCCACCACCGCCAGTTCATGCTGCTGCTGCTTCTGCAGCTCTTTCTCGGGCTCTCGCTGTCTCCCACGGTCCTCTTGCTCTCTCAGACTCAGCTCCAATCCCGTCCGTCTCGATCCCCCGATGGGGAACCTGATCGTGAAGACCCCCGTCTGGTCGGGGACAGGAGTCTTGGCGATGCCTGGCTCCCGCTCCAGCTGCTCCCAGATCCTGCTATAGCCCCAGTTGGGGTCAGGAATCTTCCTTAGAGCGGTCATCCTCCTCCAGCTGCACGATTAACTCTGCTTTGGTGAACTTTCCAACGCTCAACCCTCTCTGTTTGCACAGGGTTACAATGTCCTTCTTAAGGAGACGGTGACAGGCCATCACTCCGCTCCTCCCAAGTTGCTGTGGACTCACAGGCCCGTGTGTTCTCAGCTCCCCACGGTTTCCAGGGAGAACCCCTAGTGTGCCAGCCCTTCTCGAGGTTACCACCTCTTTGCCAGGGTCGAGCTGCAGACTCCTCCGCCCCTGAGACTGCTCACTGCAGTCCCCAGGGGGACCCCATTACTGCACAGTACTTCTTGCTGGTCACACACTCCCAGGGGTTAACCGCCCCCCGAAACCGCTCCTCTCTGAGCCTTCAGCAGGCCTGGTCCTCGGCAATCCCCCTTCGTGTTACTGCTCCCCAGTCACTTACTGCAGGAAGCGCCATCCACGGGGTGCAGTACATCCCACCGCTGCCACCAGTTGTCACGGAGTCCCTGGGCGATGCTCTGGAACTGCTCCCCATGAAGCCAGTCAGGACTCTGGGGCAGTCGCCTTTCTGTGAGCAGCCTGTCTGCAGGACACGCAGCTCACACAGCTTCCACCTTCCTGGGTCTGACCTCGGAGCATTCAGCATCCTCTGCCCCTCCGTGCGCTTCCCACAGCGAGTCCGCTCAGGCGGGGCTCCTGGGGAAGCCAGAGGGTCCTGCACCCCAACTTCGCAGTCAGACGTGACTCTCAGCCAGCCAGTAAAACAGAAGGTTTATTAGACGACAGGAACATGGTCTAAAACAGAGCTTGCAGGTGCAGAGAACGGGACCCCTCAGCTGGGTCCATTTTGGGGGGCAGTGAGCCAGACAACCACGTCTGCACTTCACTCCATGTCCCAGCCAGCCCCAAACTGAAAACCCCTCCAGCCCCTCCTCCTCTGGGCTTTGTTCCTTTCCCGGGCCAGGTGGTCACCTGATTCCTTTGTTCTCCAACCCTTCAGCTCTCACCTTGCAGGGGGGAAGGGCCCAGGCCATCAGTTGCCAGGAAACAGGGTGTCGGCCATTCTCTGTGTCCAGACTCCTGCACACACATGCCCTCTAGGGCACTGCAATGATCATACACCCTTACCCCACCACCTAGATACTTAAGAACTGCCTAGGGGAAACTGAGGCACCCCCACACTATTCAGAGGAAACATTAAGAACAGTCCCACTTCGTCACACCATGCCAATGATATGCACTGTGCGTAATGCGCATAGGGCCGCAGGCACCACTGAGCAGAAGAGCCGGGATTGGAACCCCCGCCATTCTAGCGCCTAGCCTCCTGCTCAAACCACGAGCCTACAATTGTCTCCCAAATAAAATCACAAACTCAGACAGTTAATTAGGCTCCTGGAAAAACAGGCACAAGGGACGCAGCTTCAGTGTGAAATGTCCTTGCTTTCAGTCAGCTTCCAGACCGGTTATTTAAATGCAGCCCTGAGTATTTAATGAGCATCCAAGGCCCCCCCAGACTTCTATATTCTGTCTAATCTGCACCGCGTGTTACCGGTGGTGCGAGGCCCCACAGATTCCGCTGGGTTAGAAACCGAAATATTTCTAGCGGGCGAGAGGCCCAACCTCACTGCTGGAAAGCGCCCGGGGGGTTTCTGAGCTCCAGCTCCAGCAGGTTGGGTTTATGGAGATTATTCACAGGACAGAAGCCCCTAGGCACGGTCTGAGATCAGAGGCCCATTGCAA